TATATATATATATATATATATATATATATATATATATATATATATATATATATATATATATTATTTACACTGCAGTAAATGTGTATTTGCCTTGAAAAGAAATATTTATAGACGATAAAGCTAAGGGCAATAAAACAAGCATGAATATGCAGATACAAAGTTACACGGCAAACCCCGCGTAATGTGATATACGATAAATTAAAAACACGTCTTTTGTGCGGCTTCAAACGAGAATACAAATGGCCTGCTTATGAGATTTTTAAAAAAACACATTGGTTTCGAATCTCGGTTAAAAAAATAAAAGACTACACGTTACCGCATACGTTTCCATTTTCAGTTCAGTTTTTTTAAAAACCTGTCTTGTAATCAAAGATGTTGGAACAAGTTTGAAGCTAATTGAAGGTGTTTATAAAGAAGTTTTTTTTTTTGCTGAACTAAGTTTGCACCCAGAGTTTATCAAAAGAATTCACGCATGAATGAGTTTAAAAGTTGAGGGGAACTGAACCACGATACGGTGTGTCAGACGAATAAAGTTTGAAGTTTGTGCTTGTTGCCTCAGGTAGGGATTTAGTTTAAGGGTTTGCTGGAAATGTTGGGTTACAGCAGGGGTTCCCAAACATTTTCGAGTGGCGACCCCCTTTTATAAAAAGTAAGTGACGCGCGACCCACATAGAATTAAAATTCGAAATAAGTAAAGAAATGAACAAGCACTAAAACGAGATTTTCTATTAGACTTTCAATATAAATTATTCTCGATAACTGTTTCAATACAAGGAGTCAAATTACATGCCATTAACTAGCCTCAATATTCCCGTTTTTGTTAACGCCAACCTCATGTCATTTTCAACATTTAATTTATTTCTTTGTTTTTAGAGAAGTGTTGAAAATGCTCTCTTGCAAAGATATGTAGACACAAAAAGAACTACAACTTGAAAGACAATTGATTTCACGTTTGGGTATAAATAGTGCACCAAAATTGTGTAAGCAGGTGTTCATTAAACATGGTAGGTGCCGCGGAATCATTCCGAAAATCCAATAACTCATTTTGTAATTCATCGGTAATGCTGGCAACATCAAAGGAAGCAGAGAATGGGTAATGCGTCAATGCAGAATCTTCTTCTTTCACCTCAGGGAAATAACGCCGCAGTTTGTTTTCAAGAGATTCAAGATGTCCAGAAATCTTCTCTTTGAAATTTGTATTTATATTTCAATCAGATTCATCTACCACACTGCTGAGTTTCTCAAACATGGCAATATTTCCAAGATTTTGTTTTTCTTCGCCAATTTTGAAGCTTTGATAAAAATGCCTCGAGATTATCATGAAGAGAGATAATATTCGTTCATTTCCCCTGAAGCTCAAGTTTAACTTTTATTGATGTTTGACTATATCTGCTAGGTATGATACTCTCTCCAACCACTCCTCGTCGTAAAAGTATATCAACAGGTCTTGTTTCCTTTGCACTTCCAAAACTACTTCATTTCATAATTTAATTCAACAACACGAGTCACAATATTTCCTTTTGACAGCAGAACCTCGTGATCTTTATGTGTGTATTTGCACAGTTCTTTAAACAGATGGTTGTTTAGGTCTCCAGATTTAATATCATTTACGACTTTTATTAGCAATGAAGTCAGAAGAGTCTTGCTGGCGAGGGCATACCGGTGAATCATGCAGTGGTTAGAGAGCTAAATCTTTTCAACTGAAAGCCCGATTTTTATTCAACATGGCGCACCATCCGTATAAACCCCACATCCGTTTTCCCATTTTAATCATCCAGTTTTTAAAAAAAAAGTATTTATTTTCTCCCTGATATCTTGACAAAATAGCAACTCTTATTTGCTATCATCTGAACGAATATATTTCACAAAGACAAGCAACTGCGAAAACGAACTCACGGCTCTTGATACATCAACTTGAAAAGCAAACAATGGTGAAAGCTTGATTTCATTCAAACTTTGTTCTTTAACATTTACGGACATGTCTGCTATTGGGCTTGTAAGTTGTTAAAGTAGCTTACCAAGTTCTCGCTCCGGTAGTTGCCAGCTGGCGTTTTTTTGTTTTTTCAAACCAAATGTGAATATTTTTTATTTATTTTTTTTTTAAGTTAAGTTATGAAATCTACTTTCGTTTTTGGAATAAAAAAAAATCCGACAATAAGTTGTTTTAAGTAAATTAAGTTTAAAATAACACACACACACACAAATATATTATATTTTATATAGATCTAGAATACAACCTGTATAATAATAATACATCTATAATCTATATAAAATATGATATTTATAGGCCTAAAAGATTTCAATCGTAAATCTGAAATCAAGCCTAATTTAATTAATAAATATATATAGCCTAGATCTAGAGTCTAGATTTCTAGATCTAGAATTCTATATCTAGATCTATGACTTTAAAAAAACCCTCTTGAAAATTCCGACTTAGACAGTAACATACGACATACAGGATTTATTTTTAATTTATAGACTCAAGAGTAGTCTAGAGATCTAGATTCTAGATCTAGTTTCTTTTATTTTACAGTGTAGTTGAGTGGAATTAATTACTAAATTACTAAATAGGCTATTTACTTTAAGACAGGTAGACTAGAATATGTTCAATATCAATTTATATATAGAATCTAGATTATTCTAGATCTAGCGAAGTTTAGTGTAGTCTTGTTGTAGAACTTAAGAACTAAATCTAGAGTGTAGGCAACTGTAGTAATTTAGATCTAGAATCTAGTACTGTGTGACGTCATTTTAGGGGGTGGGGGTCTGGCTTTTTGTGACGATGTGTAGGGGAGAGGGGGGGAGGTAAAAATCGTCAAAAAAATGCGTGACGTCATTTATGGATGACCCCCATGGAGAAGATCCACACAGAAACAGTTTAAGGAAATGGGCCTAACATTCAAACAGGTAGAGGTACCAACATGATTTTAGAGATTATGTAGATATACATATATATATATATATATAGGGGGAGGGGGAGAGAGAGAGAGAGGGTTCATCTGTAAATTGCATCACACATTTTATGATGATTTTTACCTCCCCCTCATAAAGGAGGGCAGTAAAAAGAAGAATGTATGATAGCTGGGTAATCCTAATTTATATAATCAGATTATTGTGGTAAATAAAAGTCAACATATCTAGCCTAACAAAATGCCATGAATTTAAAATATATATTATGACTTAGAGAAAGTTTGGTGAAATGGAAATATCTGCAAATTTGATTTATTGATGATGTGTAACTTGTTTATATTATTCCTTTGGAGCTGATATTAATAAAAAGTTAATGAAATTATAGAGTTTTATCCAATTGATGTTTCTAAAGCCTTGCATGAACTTAATTTAAATATATTTAGCTGCCCAGGCAAAGAACCCAATGAATTTTCCAGAATTGGCTTGTCGTTTGACCGATGGTAACAAAGAGAATCACCCAGGATCTTCGCTGATAAGAAAATCTGAAGACATACCTTATTCTTCTATATCTAAATGTGATTTGTCTAATGAAAATATTTATTCAGTGACAATTGCTAAAGATATTTTACCATTATTTCAAACATCATCTTCTGAAATGTTGTTTTCTATCTCTAAACCGTCCACAATTTCTTCAAGTTTCAAGAGATATCTTAACATCATTGCCTACTTCCCACAGTTCTTATGTTCAAAATTTGCAATTTTCTGAGAAACAAAGTAATAATAAATTTGTACCCAGTGTTTTAGTTTCAGCTCCATTAAAATTTAATAAACCAATCAATTTCAAAATTAAATGTTTCTTATCCCATATGAAAGTAGTCTGTTTTATTTAAGAAAAATCACCTTTAAAAAAATTTAATGTTTGATGTCAATAAATTGTTGACATGGACTGGTTTGCGGGTAAGCTTTTATACTTAGTGTACAATAAAGATTCAGTTTTGATGTCAATATAGTTGCTTCTGAAAGAATTAAACTATAAACAATAGCATTTATATTAATATCTCAATGGCAGTTCAGTATACTTTCATCATTGTTTTCAAATAACAAAACAGAACTACAGTTTTAAAATTGAAAAAAAAAAATGAAAATAATTTCATAAATGGATGGTTTTTTAATTACTTAAAACAGAAGATGCATCAATACAGCATTACAATGTATATGATTAATATTTCTTTTCATGGACAATCATCATTTAAATTCTTCATTAAAAGTTAAATTCAGCTTCCTTGTGTCTAAAAATCCACATCCATGCTGTTCCATTTACCTAGAAATTAAATAAATAATATTTTTAACAACTTTCAGTAATATAAAAAAAATTAATCATTGATTAAAACATACAGCCAATATAGCAGATGAATTAAAATTCACCTGTTTCTGTGACATTTGCATGTAAAATTAGAGTGTTCAGAGGTATATACCCAGCCACCTCTAATTTCCCTATCTTGAGCCAGGTACTCATGTGAGCTGGTACTCATGAGACTTAGGACATCATACCAGGACTAAAGCCAGGGATCTGAACTCTTTTAGGATAGAAATGTGAAAGCTACTGTCTGACAGTCCCACTATCAAGCCATACATATTAATACTTACAGTAAATAATCTTAGTAGCAACATATTCTTTAAGAATTAGAACACTGAATCGGTTTCAAACTTGGGCTTAAGCTGAAAAATGGCTTATTATAAAAAAATTCAGCTCACCTTTAGTTTAGCTCAAGATCATCACCTATAGCCATAGTCAAGTGTGAGAAAATTGCTTGCCAAGTACCTAGAGAATTTAAATATAATAAATTATTAAGTTTATCCATATATTATATTAAAATAGTTATTTAACTAATATGTGATATTAATATATATATATATATATATATATATATATATATATATATATATATATATATATATATATATAAAAATGTAAATATATATATAAGGTTTCATTTATTGTAAAGGTTCAGTTTTCTATCTACTTAGCTTATCTTAAAAACTAAAATATCTGAGTTAACCATATCTTAACTATTACAAAACTATTAGTTTCATTTTCATTACTTGTAACTAAAAATTGTAGTCAATAGATCTAAAACTTTATTCTATTAACAGCTAACTGTAACCGTACTGACTCTGACCAATTTATTAATTTTTGTACCATGTAATTCATTAATAATTAGGCTTATACTAAAAGGCCGAAAGTTATCAACTGTAGAATTTATAGTCCCTGGTCTAGACTAACAAGTCTAGCCTACAAGTCTAATAGTACTAATACACATGATCTAGTTTCTAAGTTTACTACAAGGCAACTTGCTAGAAGACTAGTACTTAACCAAACTTTAACTTGCTAAAAATAAAAGGGCCTAATACAATAGTAGATGGCCTAGTAATACTTTTTTTTACTGTGCTACTTACACTACTTTTGGTACTATTACTACGGCTAACTAACTACTAACTAGACTCTATTGTAGCTTGATGGAGATCTATCATCTTGCTCTTCTAGTAGTCTACACTACTTACTTACTACTTAGAAAAGTAGTAGCACTACTGTAACAATTTCAAATTAAATTTAATCTATATATTACTAGATCTACTAATTGCAACACTGTAGTCTGATAAGTCTGTAAGCCCTAAATGTATCTCATAGTATCTAGATTCTAGTCTAATCTAGTTTAAGTCTAGTTATTAGTACCTACACTCTACAATAGTCTACAGTACTCTACACAACACTCTACTACTACTCTACTCACTCTACTGGCTACTGATCTAGTAAATAGCTAGAGTAGATCTAGTCTAGATTCTAGATCTAAAAAAATCGATTTAAAATTAAAAACAGGTTAGTCTTACTAGCTCTTTACTAAACTTAACTATGGTAGGTTTTACCTAAACTAGATCTAAATTCTAATCTAGATCCTACCATACTACCATCTGCATCTAGATCTACTATCTCTATCTAGCCATCTATCTACAAGCTACTTCTTAATCTTATAGACTTCTAAAATATTAAACAGTAATCACCGAGTAATCAGTACTAGAGTCTAGATCTATTATTAACATTGTTGTCAAAGGTTAGTCTTACTAGCTCTTTACTAAACTTAACTATGGTAGGTTTTACCTAAACTAGATCTAAATTCTAATCTAGATCCTACCATACTACCATCTGCATCTAGATCTACTATCTCTATCTAGCCATCTATCTACAAGCTACTTCTTAATCTTATAGACTTCTAAAATATTAAACAGTAATCACCGAGTAATCAGTACTAACTAGAGTCTAGATCTATTATTAACATTGTTGTCAAAGTCTAGATCTATATCTAGCTAGATGATAGATCTAGATCTAGATCTAAATTTAAAATCTAATAGTAAATACAAATGTTTAGATTTAAATTTTACATAAACAAGAGAATGTGGTCAATCTAACTTTCTAATCTAGTCTGATCTAAATCTAGATCTATCTCTACTAGATACTAGATTCTAGATATCTAGATTCGATAAGTTGTAGGCTGAGTGAGACTGAGAACTGAGAGTCATCCTTTTCTTAATAGAATCTAGATCTAGATCTAGATCTAGATTATTCTAGATCTAGATCTATTTTTAATTTAATATTTTATCTAGATCTAGATCACTAAAAATACTAGATCTAGATCTAATAGATTCTAATTCATGAACTTATACTCTTAGAACTAGATTAAAGCAATGTAGATCTTAGTAGGTAGATTCTAGAATCTAGATCTAGATTCTAGATCTAGATCTTGAATCTAGATCTAGATTTAGGTCTGGGAATCTTGAGTCTCGTAGCAAAGACTGAGTAGAGTCAGAGTAATGTCCCCTAGCCTTGGACAAACTATCAACAAATGAAATAAAATCAATATACTTACCGCCACAAAACTTTTATATTCAAAAATGCATACACATGTGTTTGTTCCCATCCATATGAACAAAACAGCGTTGAAAGTTTTTACAATTGTTGCATTTCTGGAACGTTTGATGATTTTGAAATCTTGAAGCGGGACCTACTAACAAATAGCCGCCATGTTTTTTGTTATCAATGGGAATCCCGTGCACAACAATTGATTTAGTTCGAAAACTTTTATCTCTCCCTGGCTAACCAGACATGAATTAACGCGAGAAAGAACGATAAACTTACAAGCCCAATAAGCGACTGAATAGTAATATTAGACAGACATATTTAAACTTCCTGTTCGATCAAGTCTCTGACGTTTACATCTAGCTTCATGCCGACGAAATAACTCCATATCTTTTTTGGTGTGTTCTGAATGACTCGTCTCAAAATGACGTTTTAGTTTTGAAAGTTTCATTTAGGCCTACTCATGACTGAGAACAACTTTACACAGTACGCATTGTTTCTGCTCTATCCCATTTCCAGTAATGTTAGTAAAGCCGAATTTCAGATATTCTTCTATATATACGTATGGTTTTTTTTATTGTTAGAGTTTAGTCTACCAGTTGGCGACCCCCAAGAAAGACCTTCGCGACCCCCAGGGGGGTCGCGACACACAGTTTGGGAACACATGGGCTAAAGGGTTCGATAGAAGATTTAGATGGTTGAAAGGTTTGGTTGAAGGGTTCGCTAGAAAGGTTTAGCTGAAGGATTTGCTAGAATGGTAAGGTTAAGGGTTCGCTAGAAATGTTTAGTTGAAGGGTTGTCTAGAAAGGTTTAGTTAAAGGGTTTGGTAAAGGTTTCTGTAAAAAGGTTCATAGAAAGTGTTGGTCGAAGGTTTAGCCACATGTTATGTTTGGTAGAATAGTTCAGTGAATTGTTTCGTTAGAAGATATAAGCGTTGAAATAGGTCGAAGTCTTGTTTTGAAGGGCTTCCGCAATAAACTTTACTGTAAGGATTTGATTAAAAAAAAATACCGTTTGATGAATAATGTTGAAAGCAGATGTATGTGTTAAATAGAAGGTTTCACCTGGAAAATTTCGGAGGGTTCTGGTGATGTGTTCGGTAAACTGTTTGGTATCCGGGTTCGGTAAAAGGGTGTTGTTTTACTTAGGGGATACAAAAGCTGATTGTTTGAGTGTTCAGCAAAAGAAAAATAAACATCCGGAGTATAAGAACATTTTTTTTAATTTCAATACACCAAACAAAAAAAAATACACAAAACGAAGCATTTTTCGTTGTTTTGTCTTCGTCAACGTGACACACAAAAATAATCAAAGTAAAATTTGAATGCTTTAAAACAAGTTCAAAGCGTAAAACTCTGACAGAACATAGACCTACCTGCGGTCTGGTGGATTAAAGGGGAAAAAAATAAACCAAGTAGCAATGTTTTATTTTCTGTTGAAAGAAAGAATGTGTTGGACACATATGCCACCATACAACATTATGCACCGATTTAACGTCCCGACCCCTTTCCCCTATATTACACAATAATAATCCTTACTTTACCATATTCACACCTATTCACCCCCCCCCCCATTTACACACATGACAACATATCAATCTGATTCAGAGGCGTAGCGACCTCTCCCTGCGCCCGGGGACAAACTTTCAATGTGGCGCCCCCCTCTAGAGCAAATTTTCAATTTGCACCCCCCCCCCCCCTCGAACTTTCAATTTGCAACCCCCCCCCCCTCAAACTATTTATAAAGCAAAAAATGAAGCTAAAATGACATTTTAATTTGTTTTTACAACTCATTTTGGCGCCCCCTAAGGTCGGCGCCCCCTAAGGTCGGCGCCCGGGGTCATATGTACCCCCCCTGCCCCCCCATCGCTACGCCTCTGATCTGATTTATTTACTATTTTAAACAAATCCAGAGTTCAACTTGGCATGTTGATTACAACTCAGTCGGAAAAGGTAACGTTGTATGCTAATAATATGGAACATTATTTACTAGTGTGGTCTGATATTCTATCAGGCCTTACATTATAGACAGACACATATTTTAGTAGGGTCTCAAATTCTAGTGGAGCCTTAGATCTTTTGTCTTATTTTCTAGTGGGGCCTTAGATTTTTGTCTTATTTGCTAGTGGGCCTATATTCCAGTGGGGCCTTATATTTTAATAGGCCTTTCTGTTCTAGTGGGCCTATATTCCATTGGGGCCTTATATTTTAATAGGCCCTTCTGTTCTAGTGTGCCTATATTCCATTGGGGCCTTATATTTTAATAGGCCTTTCTGTTCTAGTGGGCCTATATTCCATTGGGGCCTTATATTTTAATAGGCCTTTCTGTTCTAGTGGGCCTATATTCCAGTGGTGCCTTATATTTTAATAGGCCTTTCTGTTCTAGTGGGCCTATATTCCATTGGGGCCTTATATTTTAATAGGCCTTTCTGTTCTAGTAAGCTTATACTCCAGTGGGGCCTTATATTTTAATAGGCCTTTCTGTTCTAGTGGGCCTATATTCCATTGGGGCCTTATATTTTAATAGGCCTTTCTGTTCTAGTGGGCCTATATTCCATTGGGGCCTTATATTTTAATAGGCCTTTCTGTTCTAGTGGGCTTATACTCCAGTGGGGCCTTATATTTTAATAGGCCTTTCTGTTCTAGTGGGCCTATATTCCATTGGGGCCTTATATTTTAATAGGCCTTTCTGTTCTAGTGGGCTTATACTCCAGTGGGGCCTTATATTTTAATAGGCCTTTCTGTTCTAGTGGGCCTATATTCCATTGGGGCCTTATATTTTAATAGGCCTTTCTGTTCTAGTGGGCTTATACTCAAGTGGGGCCTTATATTTTAATAGGCCTTTCTGTTCTAGTGGGCCTATATTCCATTGGGGCCTTATATTTTAATAGGCCTTTCTGTTCTAGTGGGCCTATATTCCATTGGGGCCTTATATTTTAATAGGCCTTTCTGTTCTAGTGGGCTTATACTCCAGTGGGGCCTTATATTTTAATAGGCCTTTCTGTTCTAGTGGGCTTATACTCCAGTGGGGCCTTATATTTTAATAGGCCTTTCTGTTCTAGTGGGCCTATATTCCATTGGGGCCTTATATTTTAATAGGCCTTTCTGTTCTAGTGGGCCTATATTCCATTGGGGCCTTATATTTTAATAGGCCTTTCTGTTCTAGTGGGCCTATATTCCATTGGGGCCTTATATTTTAATAGGCCTTTCTGTTCTAGTGGGCTTATACTCCAGTGGGGCCTTATATTTTAATAGGCCTTTCTGTTCTAGTGGGCTTATACTCCAGTGGGGCCTTATATTTTAATAGGCCTTTCTGTTCTAGTGGGCTTATACTCCAGTGGGGCCTTATATTTTAATAGGCCTTTCTGTTCTAGTGGGCCTATATTCCATTGGGGCCTTATATTTTAATAGGCCTTTCTGTTCTAGTGGGCTTATACTCCAGTGGGGCCTTATATTTTAATAGGCCTTTCTGTTCTAGTGGGCTTATACTCCAGTGGGGCCTTATATTTTAATAGGCCGTTCTGTTCTAGTGGGCCTATATTCCATTGGGGCCTTATATTTTAATAGGCCTTTCTGTTCTAGTGGGCTTATACTCCAGTGGGGCCTTATATTTTAATAGGCCGTTCTGTTCTAGTGGGCCTATATTCCATTGGGGCCTTATATTTTAATAGGCCTTTCTGTTCTAGTGGGCCTATATTCCATTGGGGCCTTATATTTTAATAGGCCTTTCTGATCTAGTGGGCTTATACTCCAGTGGGGCCTTATATTTTAATAGGCCTTTCTGTTCTAGTGGGCCTATATTCCATTGTGGCCTTATATTTTAATAGTCCTTTCTGTTCTAGTGGGCTTATACTCCAGTGGGGCCTTATATTTTAATAGGCCTTTCTGTTCTAGTGGGCCTATATTCCATTGGGGCCTTATATTTTAATATGCCGTTCTGATCTAGTGGGCCTATATTCCATTGGGGCCTTATATTTTAATAGGCCCTTCTGTTCTTGTGGAACTTATATTCTACCGGAGCTGCATATTATAGTGGTGTCTTATATACTTGTAGGGCCTCATAGTCTAATGGGCTCTTATATTCTAGTGGGCCCTATATTCTAATGGGCCCTTATATACTAGTGGGGTTTCACATTCTAGTGCGGGGCTTATTTTCTATTTTCTTATATCCTAGTGAGGCTTTATATTTTAGTGCACCCATATATTGTACAGGGACCTCATATACTAGTAGGCTTTATTTTCTATTGGGTTGTATATTTAGTGGGGCCTTATACTCAGCTAAAGCGCCCATAAATAATGACATAAAGACCGGGGCCCCCTACACAATGGGTCCCTAGCTACTGCCTCGACTTCCTTGATGGGCTTCCTTCTCTGTCTTGCATTCAGGCGTATAAAATAAAATACTTTATTTCAATTCGTCATAATAAACCACAATCGAATAGCCAGTAGCAGATCGAATCTGTTATTTTCAGAGAGAATTCAATTCCCATTAGTTTGAACCTATAACACGATTCTGTGCTAAAAATAGTATCCGGGTCTAATTGTTCTTCTTTGACCTATGTGATCGTATGCATCGCTTAACGGTGAACAAAACACAATCCTTGCCCTACTTTTCGACCAAAGTCAGATAACTATCGGCAACGCCCGTGTGACATTAGAGTTACGGTCCCTTGATTTTTTTATTGTATTTATAAACTATGACCTCACACTCTCACACACACACCGGTATGTGTGTTATATTCAACAGGGAAGCGGATATTTCCTTTGTGTAGCCTCTACGATTAATCGGGTCGATAATTACGATTGGGCCTGTGTAGCTTGTTCTTCTATGTTAGGGGGATATAAAAAAGATGGGAATCAGAAGGATTAACATAGGAGAGGCAACCGAGGTGCTTAGTTTCCAGTATCTAGCAGTTTAAAATTAAGGTAAGGTGTATTTTTTAAAATTTCAGTGTATTGCTTAGAAAATAAAGCTCAGTCTAGAATTTTGTAAGGTTTATTAATGTTATGACTGGGGTTATTTCTGACATTAGTTTATAACTCAGTTTTGTCTAATGCAATTTAGGCCTAACCATAAAGGTGTTTTTTTTTAAACGTAAGTCCAAATTCAGCAGTAATAATGGAAAAGCCTTTAGCCACTACTAACATTTCTAATACTTTTCACGGTTCGGTGGTTTTGATGGTTAGGGCGGGTAAAGTGAAGCTCGTTTAATCCCACCTCCCCCACCCCACCACTCACATTGACACCTGCAGTGCTGTAAATGTAATTCAAATATTTTTTGGATGTGTCTATTCAAAGTGTTGTTTGTTGGTAGTCTGACTACACAATACACGTACGACACACACACACACACACACACACACACACACACTTAGACAACAACAACAACAATGCCTCAACTCCGTGCCATCATTGTCTTAACATCGTACAGAATATCTATCCCATATCTATAGAATATCTATCCCATATCTATAGAATATCTATCCCATATCTATAGAATATCTATCCCATATCTATAGAATATCTATCCCATATCTATAGAATATCTATCCCATATCTATAGAATATCTATCCCATATCTATAGAATATCTATCCCATATCTATAGAATATATATCCCATATCTATAGAAAATCTATCCCATATCTATAGAATATCTATCCCATATCTATAGAATATCTATCCCATATCTATAGAATATCTATCCCCTAATCTATAGAATATCTATCCCCTAATCTATAGAATATATATCCCATATCTATAGAATATATATCCCATATCTATAGAAAATCTATCCCATATCTATAGAATATCTATCCCATATCTATAGAATATCTATCCCATATCTATAGAATATCTATCCCATATCTATAGAATATCTATCCCATATCTATAGAATATCTATCCCATATCTATAGAATATCTATCCCATATCTATAGAATATCTATCCCATATCTATAGAATATCTATCCCATATCTATAGAATATCTATCCCATATCTATAGAATATCTATCCCATATCTATAGAATATCTATCCCATATCTATAGAATATCTATCCCATATCTATAGAATATCTATCCCATATCTATAGAATATCTATCCCATATCTATAGAATATATATCCCATATCTATAGAAAATCTATCCCATATCTATAGAATATCTATCCCATATTTATAGAATATCTATCCCATATCTATAGAATATCTATCCCATATCTATAGAATATATATCCCATATCTATAGAAAATCTATCCCATATCTATAGAATATCTATCCCATATCTATAGAATATCTATCCCATATCTATAGAATATCTATCCCATATCTATAGAATATCTATCTCATATCTATAGAATATCTATCCCATATCTATAGAAAATCTATCCCATATCTATAGAATATCTATCCCATATCTATAGAATATCTATCCCATATCTATAGAATATCTATCCCATATCAATAGAATATCTATCCCATATCTATGGAATATCTATCCCATATCTATAGAATATCTATCCCATATCTATAGAATATCTATCCCATATCTATAGAATATCTATCCCATATCTATAGAATATCTATCCCATATCAATAGAATATCTATCCCATATCTATAGAATATCTATCCCATATCTATAGAATATCTATCCCATATCAATAGAATATCTATCCCATATCTATAGAATATCTATCCCATATCTATAGAATATCTATCCCATATCTATAGAATATCTATCCCATATCTATAGAATATCTATCCCATAATGGCGAATTAAAAAGGGATGATCAATACAATGTACAAAAGAGAAAAGAACACCAGTGTAAAAATTATCCCTAGCAGATGTTTGTGTTAGAGTAATAGAGTTTACAGGATGAGTGAGTTGTGTAGTGTGCGAGAGAGTGAAGTTGTATCACCTTTTGTTAACATGATATGCATTCTGTATTATGGTGATTTGTGTGAATTTATGTCACCATTTGTTAACATGATATACGTATATACGTATATATATATATATATATATATATATATATATATATATATATATATATATATATATATATATATATATATATATATATATATATATATATATCTGTGTGTGTGTGTGTTTGCGTGTGTGTGCGTGCAAGCGTGGACTTAATATTGCGTAAACGCCAGTGTATGTGCATATTATCTATGTTTATGTAGTTTGATTAATCGTTTTGGCCCATATGGGCCAACTCCCTAAGTGACTTCCTTATTTAGTCCAAATACAAAAGTTGTTTGCACTGAATAAGAAAACCCCATGCGCTAAGCGCAACTTTAGTGCACAAGTGATCTAACGCAAGTGCACGGAGAAAATCGATGATTCATAAATAAGACCATTGCGACATTGGAGGTTGACGTTAAAATACAATTAACATGAGGCCTCAAACAGGGCGGCCTTAACGTAACCAGGAAGAACGATCAATCAGAGACCCCCCTCCCCCACCCCACACAAACACCCATCCACAACTCTCCAAAATTCAAGACATCTAAGCACCAACCGTGGTTGGTATTTAGACCGCGCGGCGTTGCATAGAATGACGTCCCTTTGCTTGTATTGATATAACGTAGCTTGCTCTCGGTGTTCCTTTCGCGCCTCTCTTCAAAGCGCGTCTACCCCCCTACCCCCAGACTTCTACAGAAAATATACGCTTTTACTTGTTTCCGCCTCCCCCCCCCCCCCCCCCCCAAATAAAACCTGAAAGTTTCAAGTGCACTCCCGGAGAAAAAAAATGTCTAAAAGAAACACTGCTTGCACTTCTTGCACCTAGATCTGACCCCGAATGTCAATGATGTTTTTAATAATGCTCAGCTTAGTATAATAAATAGTAAAGTTTAAACTAGTTGGTACATTTCCGTTATAAGGCACCACTCATAGTTCGCCATTCAGTAACTTAAATTTCAGACATATTAGTCGTGTATAACAAGTGAACTCTACTTGCCCCATACACCGTCAGGTTTGAAAGGGAACTTTACTTACTACTACTACTATAGTAAGTGCCGCAGTTTGTGAAACAGTACAGTTTACATTTGATAAAGACATATGTTACTGTAATTTAGCAGAGTAAGAAACATTTAATCAAGACATACTTAGATGTCTTAGATGTCAGACATTAACAATAATTAATCCAACTAATTAATGTAAGCAAGAAGTAAACTACATCACCATTAACACTAATAAAAGAATATAGAGTGCAAAATTTCGCCTGTAATTTCTGGGAAACTTTAGCAGCCATTGATTAGATATAAATACATGTACATTTTAGGGGGACTGACTAATAGATGAACGGTTCAAAGAGACAGACACCTTAGACAAGACAGTAGTTGTCGTTATGTTGACCAGTGACCAGGCTTGTTAGCTCCTGGGGGGGGGGGGGGGGGGGGCGTTTGTTAGCTCACTAGTGTTGCTCTCATTATCAACTGGAGATATCTAGGGGGATAAGACGTTGGAAAAACATTTTTGAAAAATACTTAAACACATATGTATTTAACAGCACTTATTACGCAATTAATTTTTTAAATACTTTTCTCGCTTTAAAATATACGTTAAATAAATGTTTGCTCGATTTTCCCACCAAACTAACATATTTCTTGGGAATAATTCCATTTCTTAGAAAAACTCAGAGAGTCAATGCTTTTTTCGTTTATCAAAGCTTTCGCGCGTCTTTGTAAGCTTTCAAGATGTAGTAAAACGTGCCTAAATATATCCTGTGTCTTCATTGCGCAGTGCCGGGTTATTTAAGATAACATTTATAACAAAAGAAAAAGTTAAGTGCGTGCTGTTCGCTGGCGCGGTCCCTTTTGATAATAAAAACTGTAATATGATATTAAAATATTGAGCTCGACAGTTAACCTTTTTATTTTATATTTTTTTCCATTACAAAATGGTGCCTCAACCCTTACCCCACCCCATCCCTTACCCCACCCCCTGAATACCTCCACCCAACCGGATATCCTGGATTCAAACACGTACAAAGACAAGTCGTCTTCGTGACGGTCACATTACGTTGATATAACTGAGATCATCGCGACATGTAATGCAAGTCATCTAGATCCAAGATACCCTGATATAAAGGCATTTGCACATTTAGATGGGACGAATATAGTTTTCTTGAAACAAGTTAACCTACTTAGATTTGTGTACATTTTATAAAGTTTACTTGATACATGTTAAATAGCTCATGCATGTATGGAACATACACATTTTACTTGAAACAATTGAACGAGATATATGTTTATATGGAATGATACATATTAACATACTTAAATTTGTATGAATTTTATAACGTTTACTTGATACATGTTAACTAGCTTATACATGTACGGAACATTTTACTTAAAACAGTTAAAAGAGAAATGTGTTTATTTATACGGAATGATACATATTAAACTAATACATTTAAACTTAAAAGATGTTAACTTGATACAACTGAACATGTATTAAATTCAGTGGCGTCGCTAGGTCGGTACACCCGGTGCGACACTTAATGGTGTCACACCCCAACCCCCCGAATAAATTACACACACCCACACCCACACACACACACACACATATATATATATATATATATATATATATATATATATATATATATATATATATATATGTATATATATATAGGTCTACATAGGCCTATATATAGTTGCTATTGCTGTCACCCTATTCCATTACGCCTAATGGCGTCAATTTGTCGTTATCAGTTACTCCAAATATTCAACAAAACCTTTTTTCCTCTGTAAATTTTGCAATTGATGTCACCCCCCCCCCTACCCACGGGGTGATAGTTTTAAAGTAGGCACAGTTAATAGTAGAGGTGTTCATCTGTAGTCAGTTATTAATACAGTGGATTAACTCTTTGATTAAACTAACCTAACAAAAGTTACCTTGATACCATTTTTCTCGTCAAAATAAATTGACATTTTAATATAAATAACTTCTAAAATTTTATCATATCTTGCTGTTTATACATTAAACGTGATTTTAACTTGACTATTCTAGAATTGTTTTTGAAACTAGAAAATGAAACAACGTTCAGTGTCTAGTACCTTCTGACACCACCCTACTTCCATTTTCCTCTCAACCCCCACCCCCTAAAAACAAAACCACCTCCCCCACCCCTTAAAAAGCGTGACATTATTTATGGACGACGCGCCTAATTGAATTTTTTTTCAATTAAAACTCAGTAAATTAAAATAACTTTTAAAACCGCTATTAAAGTTTTTTTTATATCAGATTCGAGTCAGTCATTTAAGTCTTTTCATTAGTCAACAAAGGGGCGTGGGTGTTGGCTGAGAATGTGCAGTGAACCGTGAACCGTGGACAAATGTTACACGGTAGCCTCGTAACCGGTTGATGGTTGGTTTAGTTCAAGTGGGAAACTCGACTAGGCCTAGGCTAACTCTAATTTAAATTGATTGATTAATATTTACAGGTATTTTTTAACCTAGGCTAACTCTAATTTAAATTGAATGATTAATATTTACTGGTATTTTTTAATCTAGGCTAACTCTAATTGTAATTGATTAATAAATATTCACATGTATTTTTTAGCCTAAGCTAACTTTAATTTTAATTGATTAATACTTAATTGGTACCTTTTAACCAGTGTCCGCTCCCCCCCCCCCCCGAAGAAAGTCTACCGCCCCCGCCCCCCCCCCCCCCGAAAATTTCAAGTGCCCCCCCCCCCCCCCCCCCCGGAGAAAAAAAGTCTGGAAGAAACACCGCTCGGCATATGAAGGGAAGTTGTGGTCAGCACTATGCCCCAGCCGCCTTTAGTTTCCCTAACATGAGTTAGGTACCGACCAGAGCTGGGTGGACTCAGGGGACGCCCCACTGACTTGAACCCGGATTCGAACTCAGACTCTCAGGCTACCAGGCTAGGGCTCTACTATCCAAGCTTATAAATCTATCTCCGCGCTGGCTAATTTTTTCCCAAGAAAATTTTTTCCCCACTTGAAAAATTTCAGAACGAAAAAAAAAATGCAATATAAGCACACGCTGGGTTATTGGTTGTCTATTTGTCAGGCGGCATTCGGCAAGTTGTAGCAAGTTATAGCAGGCAGGGGGTGGCTGTCTTTTGTAAGCGTCTTACAGAATTTGTATTTTACAAAACTGAGTTGAGGGACATTGATTGATTTTAAGGTGGTATACCTGTTGTTTGTTTTAAATATGTTGTTCCTATTTTTATTTTACTTTATTATTTTTTAAATTATTTTATTTTACTTTATTATTTTTTAAATTATTTTATTATTCATTTATTATTATTATTATTATTATTATTATTATCATTATTATTATCATCATCATTATTATTATTATTATTATCATCATTATTATTATTTTCGTTTATTATTGAAGAAAACCAAGCTGATGAGTGAACAGGTTCTTTGTGTAAAAAGGCGTTACTAGATGTAAATATAACATAAGTAAAGGAAACCAAGAATAAAGACTTACTTTAAAAAAAAAAAAATTTATAACGATGGTCGTTCGAAATATTCTACTTATCCTGGCGGGTAAGTTATTATTTCATTTGTTACAAAACTTTATATGATTTTTTTAAATTTTAAAGTTATGTAAAGATTTGTTTACATTTAAATCAGCACAGGTACTGTTTTTTTTTTATCTGTTGACAAAGTTTGTGTGGTTTTTGTGGGAGATCACGATATTAAAAAAAAAATCTTATCCTTCGCACTTACTAGTCTTGCGAAACCTTAACACAAGCTGTAGCCGATAGTGCACACAGCGAGCGTATCAAAATAAAAGGGGTCATGTCTGGTTGATAATAATCGTAAGAAAGAAAAATGAACCTTTTAACTTTGACTTTAACTCATCCTTAAGTCAACAAATTCTATTGTGTTATATTGTATTACGTAATGTGGTGTTATGAAGTCATGTTATATAACACTGTACTCCGTTATTTTCCTTAGTAATATTATTGCCCAATCCTTTATTCTTAAAGGGGGAAAAATAACCCTAACCTTCATCATAACCTTAAGGATTTAGTTAAGCCTCTATTCCGGCGATACCCTCTTTATATAAATATAAATGGTAAGAATCTTAATCTCAATTAGTTATTTCTTAATAAATTTGATGCCTCTCTTCTCCTCAACCCTGTACAGTATGTGCATTCTGTGAGACGTATCGAACTAGAAGACAGACAACGACCTACAAAATAGACACCAAGGTTGTCACCGACGTGGAGATGTATAAAAGGTAGGCCATCTTCCTGTCTATGCTGTTAAAATGTGCATAACGTAAAGTATGTTCTTCATTGGGGTGTGATAATGTACATGCTATGTTCCTGTCGGTGGTGTTAGGATGTACATACAGTACGTCGTGGTCCTCTCAGTGAATCGAGGATGTACACAAATTGTGATGTGAGGATGAACACATGTTGTGATGTTTTCCTATCAGTGATGTGAAGATGTACAAAAGTTGTGATGTGATGATGTACAAAAGTTGTGATGTGATGATGTACAAAAGTTGTGATTTGATGATGTACTAATGTTGTGATGTGAGGATGTAGAAAAGTTGTGATGTGATGATGTACAAAAGTTGTGATGTGAGGATGAACACAAGTTGTGATGTGAGGATGTACACAAGTTGTGATGTGAGGATGTACAAAAGTTGTGTTGTGAGGATGTACAAAAGTTGTGATGTGAGGATGTACAAAAGTTGTGATGTGTTTCTCTCAATGACGTGGTCATGTAACCAGCACGCCTGATACTGATGGCGCAGCAAGCATCAGGCAAACATAATGGGGCTACGGGCATCACATAATAGGGGAGGGGCATCCCGCAATGTGGGAGGGGGTTCACATAATGGGGGGCATCACTTAATGGGAGAGGGGCATCAAATAATATGGGGAGGGGCATCACATATTATGGGGAGGGACATCACATAATGGGGGAGGAACATCACATAATGGGGGAGGGGCATCACATAATGGGGGAGGGACATCACATAATGGGGGAGGGGCATCATTTAATGGGGGAGGGGCATCAAACAATATGGGGAGGGGCATCACATAATATGGGGAGGGACATCACATAATGGGGGAGGGACATCACATAATGGGGGAGGGGCATCACATAATGGGGGAGGGACATCACATAATGGGGGAGGGGCATCATTTAATGGGGGAGGGGCATCAAACAATATGGGGAGGGGCATCACATAATATGGGGAGGGGAATCACATAATGGGGAGGGGCATCATTTAATGGGGGAGGGGCATTAGATAATATGGGGAGGGGCATCAGATAATATGGGGAGGGGCATCACATAATGGTGGGGGAGGGGCATCAAATGTATTGCTTTTCGCCGTCTACTTCAGCCCGTTTAGCTAGACGTCCATATTTAGCAGATCGATGTTTTCTTTGTAAAGAATTGCTTCGAAATCCCGAGTCTCATTTCGTCATATAAAACTTTTAAGGTTATTTTTATACAAACACAAGTTTTAGAAACATAAGCAAATAACTTTTTTTAATACTCTCTGGGTTTTTCTGTATTTTTGTGTAGCGCTTGTAATATGGTTTTTATAAATTAGTATTTAAACATGCTTTCTTCTTATTTTGTGTTAGCATCGTCAGAAAATGGTTGGTCGAGGGTACGGACAGCACCGGGTTACACCCGACCTAGCGTCGCGACTGGTTTAAATTACTACCTAGTGAGAGCTGGATATAGACTTTTACAGTTGGAGTATTTACATTTCAAACATTTTAATAATACCTTACATTTCCCCTTACATTTCCCCCCAGATGGTCGACCTATGTCCGCGAAACGTCATCAGAAACCGATGTTAAGAAACTCGACACTCAAACACAGAACATGATCCAAGAATATGTTTCTCGGTGTTTCCATCAGGTGAAGATTCTTAGTAGAGTTACTAGGCTAAGTTATTTTTGTAAATATTAAAAGTGACGACGATTAACGAAATCTCTAGTATAATAGTGGTCTACGTCATGTTGCTTTTCAGCTTAATAACAATGTCTCATTGAGAAGTTTAAAGTGAGAGTGTATTACAGTGAAAATTACTACTTTTACGGATACGTTTTTATCTAGGCTAGTTTTCCAGTTAAATTTACATCTAGACTAATTTTAATGAATGTTTACAGGGAGAGTTATTTTACGGAGAAAATTACATTTAGACAAATTTTACATCTCTACAATTTACAATTAGACTAATTTTATAGATACATTTAAATTTAGACTAATTTCAAAGAGAGAGAGAGAGAGAGAGAGAGAGAGTTTACAGTGTGAGTAATTTTACAGAGAAAATTACAATTAGACTAAATTTTACAGACGAATGTACATTTAAATTTATTTTACAGATACATTTTCATCTACATTAATTTTACCGAGAAATAAACACGTTGACTATATGGTCTAAACCGTCATGCTTTTTAAAAAACCCTCTCCCCCAACTCCCCCCCCCCCCCCCACATCTTTACTGTCAGATTCACCCCGACACCAAAATTTACTTCAACATTACCCCTCCCCCCCCCTTTTTTTTCCTTTTCCAGAAGCATTTATGTCTTGAAATCGTTCTAGAGCAGGGGTGGCAACCTTTTGAAGCGGAAGAGCCAAAAGTTACAATTTTCAAAATTTCCCTGGTTTTAAAGAGCCAGTAACATTTTTTTAAATTTCAAATATTTTATTTTTTTATTAAGATTATTAGTATTTGTTCTAGAATATTGATAGAGTTATTGCTCTTTGAACAGAAACAACAAAATCAACCACAAAAACCCAACTAAATTTTTTACTTTATTTGCCAGTTTGGTTTGTTTCGGTAACAACAACTCTATTTAATACTGAAAATGTTTACAAATCCTGGTCCTAATTAGATAACCCTCGTCTCCCCGTCGTCTCACAAGTCCAACCCCCCCCCCCCCCCCACCCCTCCCCTCCCCTCCCCTCTTCTTGAGCTGCTGACACAAACGTTATATACAATATAGAAATATATAACGGTGGTTTACTCGTATAAATGTGCATGTTATTTAACAGTATTTAAGTTCTCAACGCCCGCTTTTAAAGTTAAATATATCCGTTTTCAATTAAAATGAAGCAATTTAATATTCACATCAAAATTTCTCAAAATTCATAACGAACAATAGGTGAGGCCCTCGGGGTGAGTTCATAACGTACGTGACGTGAGTGGTATTCGTCCCCCCTTTACCTGCCCTTTTAACCTCTCTTTTCTTCATTCAGGTAATGCTTTTATTTGTAATTTCTCAGGCGAATGTAAGACTCGCTACTCTTAATCTAGGCTTCACAGTGCAACTGCAACTCGTCGATATTGAATTTAATTATGTAAGTAAATGTTAGGTCTGTTTTACATTATTGTAAGTATGCTATGTAAGTCTCATTTAAATTATGTATTTAAATATTATGTTTGGTCCTGTTTAAATTGTGTAAGCAGTCAAAATATTAAGTCGTGTTTAAGTTTAATGAAGTAAATGTTTGGTCTAATGTAAGTTATGTAAGTTATGTAAGTTATGTAAGTTATGTAAGTTATGTAAGTTATGTAAGTTATGTAAGTTATGTAAGTTATGTAAGTTATGTAAGTTATGTAAGTTATGTAAGTTATGTAAGTTATGTAAGTTATGTAAGTTATGTAAGTTATGTAAGTTATGTAAGTTATGTAAGTTATGTAAGTTATGTAAGTTATGTAAGTTATGTAAGTAAATTTACGCCATGTATAGCGGTACGTTTTAGGTAAAAAGAAATCGTTTTAAATTGGGGGTAGCTCAAGATTCAAAGACCTACTTGCTGTGAATGATCTTAACTACTATACAAGCTATAGATAAGTAAATGAACTAAAAACAAAAAAAGCAGGGTTTCAAATGTTTTGAAAGGATAATGGAATTTTCGCCATAACTGTAATGAAGTAAGGGTTAGGGCAGGGGTTCCAAACCCCGTGTCCGCGGGCGCCATGGCGCCCGCCGAACGATTCGAATGTACCCGCCTCTTACTATTCGACAGAGACAGAATTTTTTTCATAAACATTATTGAAAGGTTGAAGGGGAAGGAAATCGAAAATTTGAGGGGGGGGGGGTGCAAATCGAAAGTTTGAGGGGGGGGGGGGGGTGGTGCAAATCGAAAGTTTTGTCCCCGGGTGACGGGAAGGGTCGCTACGCCTTTGGAAGGAGTTTGTCGATTTAAAATAGGTGGTGCCCGCCACCCTACCGATATTTTAGAATGTGCTCTAGAGTAAAAAAAGGTTGGGAACCCCTGGGTTAGGGTAAGACTAATTTTGGGGCTACTGTAAGATCTAGTAATCGGGTATTGATACTTCCAAGTATTACATTGAAATGACCTAACGGTCAACTAACAATTATTGCTTATACTTTACTAGTTCTTTTAAGTTAATACATGTAACTTATTTTTTAAGCTCTCAACTCGGTTCATATTTTTGTTACAAATTACTCTTCGCTTTGTTGTTCTTTTTTTTTAAAATCTCTACACTGTAATTTTTTTTTTTTTTATGAATTTCAGAGTGCTGCCAACGCAAACAACATTAATGCCGAACAAACGCTCAACACGTTTAAAGATTGGTTGGTAAAAAACAGCCAATCAAATTTGATAGACCGATATGACCACGTGATGCTGTTTACCTCGTAAGTTTAGAAGATATTAAATTAGTAGGCAAGTATTGATCAAGCTAAAGGTATACAGATTTACAAGAGTGTTTTTTTATTTTTATTTTAGATATTGGAGGGGGGGGGGGGGGGCGAGGTTGCAACATTACTAATAATAAATAAATAAAAGATAAATTTAATTTAATTTTACAAAATATTTTAAACCCTTCTCGTGTAGAACTTTACTAAGTTTACACGAAGCTCGCTTCACAATTAACTCATCTAGAACATATCTCGTTTCATATTTTTATTTAAAATCCCCCCCCCCCATAAACCCAATCCATTAATTAAAAAAAAAAGGTACTATAAAACATATATACCTTAGCCTAACACATTTTATTTTACAAATACTATATAATTTATGGTTACCCTTCAACCCCTGCAGAGGCGTAGCTGAGGGGGGGGGGGGGGCGGACCGTACCGGGTGAAACCATTTCGTGGGAGGGGGAGGATGACATCAATGCACAAAATTGCAAAATGTATTTAGAGAAAATGCTTTTTGCCAGTACCATTAATGATTAATTAAAGTTAAATAGACTTTCAAGTACAAATCGACAATTATTACAAGAGGGTGGGGTGACACGATGACGTAAACGTGCTAACTATAGAGAAAACAACTCTACATGCAACTGCACTATTAACAGAATATGTATAAAATCGTTACTATATATATATATATATATATATATATATATATATATATATATATATATATATATATATATATATATATATATATATACCAAGAAGTGCCGCAACGGGTGACACCCGACCTAGCAACGCCACTGAACCCCGTTTACCTGAGTAATAAATGCGCCAAACAACTTCTAATGAATTGTTCTTACCCCTCTGTTTTAGGACCGCCCTGGCCTCTGTATCAAGTTCTGGTGGAGAGGTACAAGGTAAGCGAGACAACCCAGCCTGAATAATTTGTATTAAATGTGAAAGCGTGGTCAAGCGGTAGAGCATGCGTTTGTTCGTGATCAGAGTTCAAATCCATAAGATCTGCACGATACGCGATAAGGAAGATAAATACAACTTGACATAGTACAAACTCAAGCAACAGTTCTACTTTATACGCTAGAAATCTTGGATCCTTTTTTTTACTTTAAAAAGTTTACCTACTTATAACAGTTCAACAAGTTCTTTAATAATTATCTTCCTGCATCTTTTGCATAGGTCCCCGTGTATGCCTAAAGATCCATAGGGCAGATGATGTAGAGTTCCTATCACATAGTCAAGTACCGTTTGAAACCTGACGCCCCTTGGGGGAAGGGGGGGGGGGTGAAGTGTAGTTCACGTTTCAGTGACCTCGGCATATAAAGTATAGAAAGCACTATGCCCAGCCGCCTTTACTTATCCCAACGCGAGTCAGGTACCCATCAAGGCTGGGTGGACTCAGTCATATGCTCCGTCTGTCCTTCTTCTGCGTTCTTAATTTTAGTGTTGGAAGGGATCCCCTCTAACACAATTAAGTATACGTGTCAACTGGTTAAGCGCCACTGAGGCCATTGACTCCGATTTCAGCCTGTTTTTCTTTTTGGATTTGCTTCCATAGCCTTTGTCCAACCAAGAACAAACTACAAGGCAGCAGTTGTTTAATTTTGGAGATGTCTCTTCTAGAAGAGTGGCTGTTCCCAGCTATCGAGCCTCATCTACCCGAGGGTTTCGAACCAGTGTTTCTTCCAGACTTTTTTCTCCGGGGGGGGGGGGGGGGTAGACTTTCTTCGGGGGACGGGGGGGGGGGGGGGAAGGCGGACACTGATAAAAGTATATATTTTCTATATCAATTTCATTTCGTTCGGGGGGGGGGGGGGGGCTCGAACTCGAGACTTTCCGTCCGTCCGACCCCGCCGTTCCTATCATATGCAGCCAAACAATCATCAGTATGTCTCTCTACAGGTCTGGGCCACGCCTATGTTGGGACCATGTGCAAAAAAGATGGCACCAGTTCTTCTGTTGTAGAGGACAAAGGGGGATTCCAGAGCAGCTTTCCAATCGCGCATGAAATAGCTCACAGGTGACTTTTTGAAAAAATTAGTTTCGCTGTTTTTGTTTAGCAAAGTGTTTAATATTTTAATAATAAATTGAAACAAAAATTGTAAAAATTATGTGTTTTAAATTGTTTATTTAGGCGAATTTTATTTTTTATAAAACTGATGCCGATTATAATTTTAAATTAAACTCATACTTTTGAAACAGAATTATATTTTTAAAGTATAATTGCTGATAGATACGACACTTTTTGCAACTTACCCATAAACATTCAGGATAAGACCTATCGTATTTTGCAACTAATCCATGAACATTCCTTATAATCTTAGCCTCGGAGCCCAACATGATAGTTTTTATCCAGGCTGCAGCGATAGTACCTTATACCTTATGTCAGGGTTGGCTTCTGACCCCGTGTCGACACGGTGGATATTTTCAAACTGCTCAGCAAACAGCATTAAAACCTATATCAACTCGATATTACAGTCATCAAGTGCCAGGTACGGATGCTTGTCTTTACAACAAGAGACACACTCTTTTATTTTCAGGCTATTCTAAATACCGGACCGGTGTTGAAAACCATTATCCGCCGAGATATTTCTTAAGATATTATAATTCGGCCAAAATATTTGTAAAATTCTGTTCGGGTTTTTAACTTCAAATTAATTGTTTCTGTCACAGTTGTCTAACTACCAGCAGCACTGCATTGAACGCGTTTGAGAGCACAGTAGGTAATAACTCTGGACAGGATTACCCAGCCAACCAACAATGTCAGATGATGTACGGTAAAACATCGCATGTTTGCTATGTAAGTAGAGTCGTGTTTTGTCTCTGTTTTATTATCATGTACAGAATGTAATTTTTTAAAACTTGTATTAAAAGATCCTAAACCAGCTGCAAAGTCTGTCGAATGACACGCAGAACAACAATGATGTTTAGTCAGAATTTCTATTGCCTTGGTCAAAATTCCTTAAGAGATAAAATTTTATGGAATCACAAGATGAAATAAAATTTCATCCAAATCGAGTAACTTTGATTCTAATATTAAATAGGAAATAGTTCGGGAGATACAATCTACATACATACACACGCGTTTAAACGCGGATTCGATGGCTACTAAAGATGTATAATGAAAAATGTATTTATTATGAACATGATTAAGATAAATTAAAATGATAAAAAAACAAATACCATCTTAATACATGTATTGTACATGTAGTGTACATGTTTATGGTCGTGTGCTCGTACACGTACATGTACGTAATCATATACGTGTGCAGTTGTGGAGGCTTATCCGTACATGTACAAACACAAATGGGACGGCGTGGCCTATAGGTAGAGCGCTAGACTACTGACCCGAAAGTCTAGAGTTCGAATCCCTGTCTATGGAACGTCTCTGAGTCCACCATGTGCTGACCACACTATCCCCTTGTATGACGAGGTAATTGAAACAGCTAAAATCTGCTTCACCTGCTTCATGTGTCTTGGGCACGAACGGGAAAAGAGGAGTAGTGTAGATGAGTGTATGTGTGTTCGTGTCTGTAGGTATCTTCGTTTACAAAAAAAATCTAACTCTACCCACACAGGGTGCAAATTTTAGCAATGTTGGTGACATCTGTACCTCAATGTTCTGTCTTGATCCCGTGGCTTCCAAATCTTCCCCAACATGTACGAAACATTTTGCTGCAGAAGGAACTTCTTGCGGAGACGGGAAGGTTGGAATAAATTAATAATTAATGATAACTCTTGATTATAAAAAAAAAAAACTTGTCTATTTTTAAATTGTCAAACGGCTATTCACATAATTCCTTTGAAAAAAAGGGGTAAAGGTGTTTTCTAAACACTTTTTAAGGTAAAATTTTTGCTTTGCGTCTATGTAAAAAAATAATCATAAAAAACGTTTTAATAACAAGTTTTTATGTAATAATGCACTAAAAAAGGAAAACAATGAATGATTTTTAAAAATATAATAAAGAGCTACTATTTAAATAACGAAAAAAAAGCGTGTGTCGCTCTAATTTGTATAAAATACTTTCCAGTGGCGTAGCGAGGTCGGGTGTCACCCGGTGCGGCACTTAATGGTGTCACCCCCCAGAGGCGTAGCGACTCTTCCCGGGGACAAATTTTTGATTTGCACCCCCCCCCTCAAACTTTCGATTTGCACCCCCCCTCAAGTTTTTCTCTATATATTTTGCTATTTTTTGCCTTGGTGTCACCCCCCTAAATGGTGTCACCCGGTGCGGTCCGCACCCCCCGCCCCCCCCCCTCGCTACGCCCCTGATACTTTCACTAAAATTTAAGAAGCGACCCACGCTTTTCTTTTTAGTTATTTGAATAGTAGCTCATTATTATAGTTTTCTCCATATCAGAGCAATATTACATAAAAGCTTGTTATTAAAACGTTTTTTATGAGTTTGTTTTTCATTATTTTAAATTTATTAATACAGTAGAGTTTCATGTGTAAAAACAATTGCGCACCAAATGAACATGATCATTTAAGAAAATTGTAATCAATTCATAAAATATTAATTAGTCATCCAATTTAGTCAAATTTGATGTCAGATTGCATTGTCATCGTGCCCGTTTCATTCTATGACGACACACAAAAGCACGACAAACAGAAGAAGCAAGTTAAATATAAGCTTTTAAAAACATCTACGTCTGTTTTATAAGCATGAAATAAACATATTTTTTGTGTCTCGCAGTGGTGTAAACTAGGAATATGTACCGTCGATTCAATAGCTCCAGTTATTGGAAGTAAGTACAGTTCTAACAAAGATATCTTGGTAAAATTCTGGTCCCTAAAATACACGCCTTTGTACAAGATAAATAATACAGAAAACATCGCAGGGCTCTGTAGATTAAATCCAAGTCAAACACAGGTAGCTCTAGCTCAGTCAGAAAACCACTGATATAATATTACCATCTTCCCCCACACCAGGCTGCTCTCTAGGAGACAACGTTAATAAAGTTAAAGTGAATGGCATCGATCTTTCGTGTACCCAAGCGGTCGCAACAGCCCCCCATGTCTGTTATACGCCAGAGGTTTTGTCCAATTATTGTTGTGCGTCTTGTGATAAAATCAAGAACAACAACGCAAAAGGTACTTTAAGTTTAAAAAAAATTATCCTAGCTAACTCACTCACAATATTTCTCTATATGTATACTTATACATTTACATACATATTCTACATAATATGTTATATATATATATATATATATATATATATATATATATATATATATATATATATATATATATATATATATATATTAGTTTGTATAGTTTAAATGAATTTATATATTCATATATATTTATGCGTATATATATATATACACGTACATGTATAATACATGAGTAGTTAATACATGTATATATATATATATATATATATATATATATATATATATACCTATTTCTATTTCTATTTATATATAAATTTCCATATCTATATCAATATATATATATATATAATTTATATAAAAACCATCAGCTAATTTGTGAGACAACTTACACCAGCAAAATTATATATTTAGTTTTAATTCAAAAGCGTTCATTATTTATTGAAATCGTTTTATCATCGTGTCTGGGACATTATTCCAACTCGACGTTAGTAACAAACTGATTGATGCCACACGCTCCTATGTCTCTGGCAATCCGGAAGTAACCGTTCTCACCAAACTCTCGTCCCCACGAGTTCTTCAGTCTCCAGAACTTGGTGCCGCTCTCTGACCCGTAGCCCACCAGCAGGACGGCGTGGTTGATGTTCTGGGAGCGGCATTTGTCTGGGGGTTGGGAAGTGTTCCTTTTACAAACCAGTGTTGTCATTTCTTAACTTTATTGTTAATTAAATAAGTCAAGTTCCCTTTCAAACCTGACTGTGCAGGTGAAGTAGAGTTCACCAGTTTCTATAACCTGGGCATGTGACGGGATAGTGTGGTCATAACTATGCTAGGCCGTCGATATTTTCCCTAATGTGAGTACGGTACCTATTAGAGCCTGGGTGTACTCAGTGACGAGTTACGACTACAGCGTTTAATCAATGATAAATTTCCCCAAAATTATGTTGCATTTCCCAAAAATTACATTTAATTTCAACTAACAAAAGTTTTAATTTAACGAACTAATGTTAAATTCTAACAAAGTAATACACGAGAGAAAAACACTAAGTTTTACCTAAATGTTCCTAAAAGATCACATATTTACCTTTATAAATGGGAAAACCAAACTTCTTTCGTGATACCCGACAATTACCAATATTTATCTGCGAAACCTCCGATTTACCTGTGATGTGATATTTCTGCATGCAAAGATTTACCCATAAAACCCACCATATAGAAATATACCTGTGAAAACCAAGCCTCACCTGGGACTATGATGCCCTTCCGGTACAGCTGCAAGTCCGCGGCATCCAGCGCCGCGGCCAGTGGCCCGTATCTCTCCAGCTCGATGGCCAACTGCTCCTCGTTGGCCGTGACGTAGTTCCACCTGGCCACTTTGAGCCCAGGTACAAACTTCTCCCGTCTCAACTTGGCCTTACAGCTGTCTGACACGACGCAGTGTTGGATGGGGTACATGCCACACAGTCGTGGGAAATAGCCCTAACCGAGATTAAAAGCGTATTAAATGATTAATTACATTGAGACATCCATATTAATTCATCGTGACCTTAGTCCTGTAGGATGGAATGATTGCGATTCAGGCGGCATTGGTGATAGCTTTTATGGCAGACAAGACTTTAGACCCCTTATGTCAACATAGTTGACATGCGGTTTTGTTTGTTAGAGAATGAAATTATTTCTAGTAAAAACGTTAAAGGTTATTTTTTTTAAAAATATAACTGGACTCAGTGGCGTAGCGAGGTCGGGTGTCACCCGGTGCGGCACTTAATGGTGCCACCCCCCCAGAGGCGTAGCGACCCTTCCCGGGGACAAACTTTCGAATTTTCGATTTGCACCCCCCCCCCCCCAAATTTCGATTTGCCTCCCCTTCCCCCCCCCCCCCTCAAACTTTCGATTTGCACACCCCTCAAGTTTTTCTCTATATATTTTGCTATTTTTTGCCTTGGTGTCACCCCCCTAAATGGTGTCACCCGGTGCGGTCCGCACCCCCCCCCACTCGCTACGCCTCTGACTGGACTTATTTGGTAAGAGATTATCGTTAAGAATCGTATAACCGATAATAAGTGTTTTGATCTCGTCGTCTGACAAAACTGTTAAACGTAAAATCAACACATCTGGCAGTAATATCAGGACATCTGGCATCATTCTACTAAACACTGCTGGACTGTGAAATGTCGTAAAATCTGGCAATGCTGTCATGTCATATTTTATACCCGGATATCTTGCAATATGTCACTTTAAATATCCGAACCTATGGCTATTCTGTGCAATTGCTATTTACTGAACATAGGCAGTATACGTCAAAGGCGTAGCAAGGGGGGGGGGGGGCGGGGGGGGAACATATGTCCCCGGGCGCCGACCTTAGGGGGGCGCCAAATTGAAAGTTTGAGGGGGGTGCAAATGAAAAGTTCGAGGGGGGGGGGGGGTGCAAATCGAAAGTTTGTCCCCGGGCGCCGGGAGAGGTCGCTACGCCTCTGGTATACGTCATACGTTTAAATGCAATGTAATCAAAAGCTGTAATAATACTCACAAGGAAACTCTAATTATGCAAGTTTGCATCTCTGAACGATAGCCTATGTTAACAAAACGAAAGAACAACTTCTGAGCGATATCATGTGTTTACAAAACGAAAGTAACAAAACTTACTTCCGGTGCACAAGGTTTACACCGACCGCTCCCCACACAGTAAGGGTAATCCTCTTCCCGTGTGATACCGCCCACATTTTTGATGTACTCGTACACGGCCTGGGGCACGCCGCCATTGATGCCGCACGCCATCTTCTCGGAGGTTCGGTCTGTTGACGGATCAGAATGTCAGGTCTGTTACAAAATAGTGCATTAAACTGAACGTGATGTGAGGTATGTTTAGCAGTTAAAAATCGTCTACGGCTAAGCGGACCAAAATCGAAACTGGTAAAATGCACAAAAATTCGTCACAGGTTAAGACAAAAAAGTATGAAGTTTTATAGGGGGTCAGACTTTTATAGGGGGTCTGACTTTTATAGGGGGTCTGACTTTTATAGGGGGTCTGACTTTTATAGGGGGTCTGACTTTTATAGGGGGTCTGACTTTTATAGGGGGTCTGACTTTTATAGGGGGTCTGACTTTTATAGGGGGTCTGACTTTTATAGGGGGTCTGACTTTTATAGGGGGTCTGACTTTTATAGGGGGTCTGACTTTTATAGGGGGTCTGACTTTTATAGGGGGTGTGACTTTTAAAGGGGGTGTGACTTTTAAAGGGGGTGTGACTGAATTATTATGAAGATGAAACGGGGTAGGGGATGCGTAGGGGAGTTTAAAAAGCTTGACGTAATTTATAATGACTCTTAAATAAAATGGAACCAGAGTGTATCCACCTTTACCGTCATGAAAGGCCAAGCAGTCCGCCACTTGCTCGTGGGACAGGTTGACCGGGTCGTGTCCCTTGAGCCTCCATCTGGAGGCGATGACGTCGAGGGCGGTGAAGATGTAGCACGTGCCCACGTTGCCCTGGTCCCTCACCGCCGTCTCCACCCCCTCCTTCGTCCAGTCGAAACTCTCGTGCACAATCCCGGTGACGTTTGTGTGGTTGTCGCTTCTGTCAGGAATGTCTGGCTGTGGAGTCATTGTAAACAAAGTCACGTGATTAATAGCGCTGGTAGCGTTGGTTCTGATCTGCCATGGATGATCTATAACAAACTAAACTAACAAATTTAATCGGATGCAATTTTACCAAACTGATCTATATTTTAAAATGTAATGTAATCTTGACTATGTGTATGTTGTATTTTATGTTTTTTTTTTTAAATGGGGCACGGGGGAAAGCTGAATGTATTGATATATGCGTGTACTCTTTAAAAGACTGCTTATTACCAGCACTATAATCTATCAGTATTTACTTTTTAAAAGGCCACTAGTTGTATGGTCTATTTTTACTCATCTTTAAAAAAAACGCTAGGTGTATGATCTATTCGTGTATTCACCTTTAAAAGTCTACTAGGTGTATGCTCTATTCGTGTACTCACATTTAAAAGACCGTTGAGCACTAACTGTATGATCTATGTGTGTACTCACGTTTAAAAGACCGTTGAGCACTAGCTGTGTACTCACCTTTAAAAGTCAGTTGAGCGCTAGCTGTATGATCTATTCATGCTCTCACCTTTAGTAGACCGTTAAGCACCAACTGTATAAACTCTAATGGGGTGAGGTCAGCGAACTCTGTCAGGCCAAACACTGCCAGGCCGTTGCTCTTCTCGTTCATCTGGATGACCTTGGCGACATTGTCCTTGAAAATCTGGAACCTTGAGAGGAGAGAGTATCTTACTAGTGTATAGAACAGGGGTCGGCAACCTTTTGAGACGGAAGAGCCAAAAGTTACAATTTACAAAATTTCCCAATTTTTAAACAGCCGCTAACAATTTTATGTGCACTTCGGTAGTGGAAAGCATGGAACCATTACCACGGGGATGGCCACAGCACAGTTATGGGGCAAGGCCTAATGCCCAGAAGCTGTCAGCCAGTGTTTCTTCCAGTCATCTATTTATTATTATAAATATAGTATAAATGTACTATATAATATTATATATAATATTTTTGAGTTTTGAAAATAATATAATTATTATGGAACTGGAGAGCCGCATCTTGACATCGAAAGAGCCGCAGGTTGCCGAGCCCTGGTATAGAACATTTGAAACATTGGTAGTAGATAGTTTAATAATGGTGTATTTAGGACTTATCACACTGGGGTGGGGGAGATGGATATAATAGATAGTGTCCTATTGTCTTTAAGAATGAACAACTCCCCTGTCCCAGGTGCATAGACTGGACACAACTCTCCTGCCACAGGTGTAAAGATTGGACACATCTCACCTGTTTTGTCCCAGGAGTTAAGACGAGAAACAAATCACCTGTGCCAGGTGTTAGGATTTGACAACTCACCTGTCCCAGGTGTATAGATGGGACACAACTCACATGTTATGTCTCGTGTGTTAAGTCAAAACACAACTCACCTGTCCCAGGTGTATAGATGGGACACAACTCACATGTTATGTCTCGTGTGTTAAGTCAAAACACAACTCACCTGTCCCAGGTGTATAGAAGGGACACAACACACATGTTATGTCTTATGTGTTAAGTCAAAACACAACTCACCTGTCCCAGGTGTATAGAAGGGACACAACACACATGTTATGTCTTATGTGTTAAGTCAAAACACAACTCACCTGTCCCAGGTGTATAGAAGGGACACAACTCACCTGTCCCAGGTGTATAGAAGGGACACAACTCACATGTTATGTCTCATGTGTTAAGTCAAAACACAACTCACCTGTCCCAGGTGTTATATCTAAACACAACTCACCTGTCCCAGGTGGACCTGAGGTCGTCATACACCTTGTTGTTCTGGAGCATCCAGTGCCGGAATGTCTTGTACACGTTGGCGCGGCGCAGCAAGTTCAGGATGTCGTCTGTGTCGGAGCTGGTGGGGGGGGGGTGTTGGAAAATGTGATACAAGGAAAAACCATGTAATAAATCTTCGTGTTAAGTGAGTTTCTGTTGAACGTGATTGTACCTATAACAAATTTAGGATGCAAGAATCATAAGAAAAGTGAAGCCACTTGATGTCAACTATCCGTTTGTGAAGCTGATAAAAAAAAAACTAAAAAATTTGATCATTGGCTAAAAGTACAAATTTCATGTGGGATTTTTTTTTAATTTTTTAATTTTTTTGGGGATCTTTAAAAACGATTAGCCAAATAAGGAGGTAGTTCAGAATTTTAAAATATTTGTGGTAAATTGAATTTTTTCAAAATAGTATTTGCTGACATTAAGAGTTCAAACCGGAATGTACATTATTAAAATTTAAAAAAATATTTTAGGAACTATTGAATATTTTGATTATTATCATGAAGTTGGTTGACTATGTTGAAAATTTTTTAGTTGGTGGCATTATAAATTTGTTGGTTCGTCAAAAATAAAAATAAAATGTGGGATTGTTCATACATCTAGAATATTTCGCTAAACAAGCTTTCTCAGAGTAACCCCAAGCGCTCTTTTATATCTAGGTAAAAGGCTGATTACTTCTCAAACATAATTTTTTAATACGTTAAATTAATAGTTGTCATAAATCGTATACTGTGGTCAAGTCAGTAAAGCTCATGGTTGCTAAACCGAAAACTCTCGAGCTCGAATCCTCAAGCAGATGAGGCAGTTAGTTCCAACACTAAAATTAAGAACGTAGTAGAAGAAGAAAGTAGCATACTGTAAAATTAAATTGAAAGATTATATTTCTTTATAAAAGCCTAGATTGAATAAAAAAGATGAACTTACTCCTCCCAATGGGCGGACCCTGAACACAGCAGACTGCTTGTGACAAACAAATATAAAATAAACATCTCTACACAACCCTCAGTACAATCGGAGACAACCAAATACCTATATTCTTCGGTTGGTTGTTGTATGAATAATTTTCTAATTTATTCGAGTAACCATGAATAGATTATCAAGCTGCGTTGCTTATTACTGGTGTAATGAATATAGAGTAGAATATCTCACTCCCGCTCGATTTGATTTGTTATATGGTTAAAGTATCTGTTACACGATTGCAGTTTTCAAATAAAATATTAAACATATTTATCTAATATTGGTGCGTTTTTACTAAGAGTTGTAAAAATGTCCATCATAAATGTGAATGGTATAATTCTTCTGAATTTATACTCTCACTAAGCTTTTAAGTGCCCAGACAGAGTGGCATAGAAGGCTCCTGTCCTAGATAGAGGACTTATGGTTTACAATTTTGATCGTATAATATATATATATATATATATATATATATATATATATATATATATATATATATATATATATATATATATATATATATATATATATGTGTGTGTGTGTATGTGTGTGTATGCATATATGTATATATATAATCCTGGGCTTCTAAAATTGATAGGGAGTGGTATATTTTTTTCAATATCCGGCTTTTATAAGTACAAGTAGATGAGCCCCGATCCCACATTGATTGGCTCCTGTCTGTTAATTAATTTAAAAAAAAAAAGAAATGAAAGATTCCCTTAGAAGCCAAGTTAGGTACCACTCAGATCAGAGAATGCATCCTATGACATTTTAAAGACCTAGACTCTATATCCCGTTGTAAAATAAACCGGGAGTGATCTCCCCTAAACTTTCTCGAATATTCTAATATAACACTATGGAGGATGGCAACTCGGGATATAGACTTCTAGACATAATTTTTAATCCATTTTAATTACTCAAATTTTTAAAAAATCATAAAAAAAACGTTTTAATAACAAGCTTTTATGTACTAATGCACTAAAAAGTAGAAAATAAATTATACACTACTATTTAAATTACTATAAAGAAAAGCGTGGGTCACTTTAGTACTTTAGTACCTATTGGATACCTTTACTAATATTTGAGAAGAGACCCACGCTTTTCTTTATAGTAATTTAAATAGTAGTGTATAATTTATTTTCTACTTTTTAGTGCATTAGTACATAAAAGATTGTTATTAAAACGTTTTTTTTATGATTTTTTTTTTCAGTACTTTACATATTTTATTTACAATAGTGTTACATGACTAAAAACCATTGCGCGTCTATTGAACGTGATGGCGCAGCTATTGAAGGTGATGACGCGTGTGGTGTGGTTGGCTAGACATGCCTACTAATTCGGTCCAAATTTTAATTAATTAATAAAAAATTAATTAGGCATCCAATTAAGTCAAATTTAGTTTCAGATTGCATTGTCTTCATGTCTTGACCCACGTGCCAAGTGTGAATCGTATCGGTCAAGTAGAAGTTTCCGAATTTTCACTCCTGCGTTTCCGTCTAGACAGACAGACAGACAGAGGAAGTGAGTTAAATAAAAGCTTGTAAAAATAGAATATAATCTCGTAGAAAAAAGAAATGCACACCAAGTGAACGCTAAATAAAGATGTGCATAATAGTGCGCAATCTTATTAGTACTTTGTAAATTTACATGCGTTTTTTGAGAAATCGGAAATAGCGTAAATAAGTACTTCCAGTCAACGGAAATTACTCAAAATTTGAAAGAAGGTAGAGAATTAGATCTTTTACTTACATATCAAATTTCATTCATCTATTTGAAATAGTACTCAAGTTATAGGCTTTTGAAAAATTCAAAGTAGAAAAAGTACCTCATCCGGTTATCGGAAATCGCTCAAAAGTTGTTACTGATCCACGATTTTGATAAAATACTTATATATGAAATTTCATCAACCTAGCTGTAACGGTACTCAAGTTATCGTGTTTACACACGGACACACACACACACAGACATACGGACAAGATTGCAAAATTATGTTTTTCCGTATCAGTGAGATGTAAAACGTGAGATGTAAAATCTCGATTTTTTTTTTTTTTTGCACGATTACAAGACTTTCTCTATACTTCGTATATACGAGAAAGTAAAAAGAAACAGATGCGATTTTAAACTGATGAAAAATTTGAATTTTTCCCACAGATTGCATATTCGGGAATCGATTTTAAACTAATGAAAAATTTGAATTTTTCCCACAGATTGCATGTTCGGGAATCGATTTTAAACTGATGAAAAATTTGAATTTTCCCCACAGATTGCATGTTCGGGAATCGTGCTTCTGACTGTTACGATGACAAGATCCGATGTTCAGCGGACGCGGGTTTCGCTTCAGATTGCTGCGGAACTTGCCAGGCCTACCGTATGTATTCGTTGTCTAGCTCACTTCCGGTTGCTCGGTTAACTGTCAGTGCATGTTAACGTTCACTTCCGGTTATTATGTTAACTGTGAGTACTTATCAAAACTCATTTCCGGTTATTAGATTAACTGTGAGTACTTTTCAAAACTCATTTCCGGTTATTAGATTAACTCTGAGTACTTGTCAAAACTCATTTCCGATTATTAGATTAACTGTGAGTACTTGTCAAAACTCATTTCCGGTTATTAGATTAACTGTGAGTACTTGTCAAAACTCATTTCCGGTTATTAGATTAACTGTGAGTACTTATCAAAACTCATTTCCGGTTATTAGGTTAACTCTGAGTACTTGTCAAAACTCCTTTCCGGTTATTAGGTTAACTGTGAGTACTTATCAAAACTCAATTCCGGTTATTAGATTAACTGTGAGTACTTGTCAAAACTCACTTTCGAAGGGGTAAAGTTTTCAAATGAACAAGCACAGCAAATAGGTTTTACAAAACTGGTGAAATAACTTTAGGCGTGTTGCTGTGTCTCCAATTTACTGCGACTCGGCTAATTATATTGCGTTGTTGGTTTATTTTTTAATGGTTAATGAAATGTGTCATTGCCGCCAATATTTCTACGCACGCGTGTGCACCAGTACAGTAAGATGATAAAAGTGGAGTTTGGGGAGGGGGGGGGGGGGTAATTAAACCAAGTATTGGCATATGCCTGTCCTTATGGCAGTAGAGGTTGCCTTTTTTTGTGATCTGGGTTTAAAAAGCGATAGTTATAGCTGCACTGTGCCTTGTTAATTTTACACGTCGTCTCCATTGAGGTACCAATTAGTGCTGGGTCGGCTCAGGGATATTTTTTTACAAAACTTGCAGAACTTTTGTGACGATGTGTAACGAGAGGAAAAGAGGGTTCAGAAAGTGTGACGACACACATTTTGTTACTTAAAGAAAAATAAAAGTACATTAGATGAGGGTTTTTTTTTACTTTCTCGTATATACGTAGTATAGAGAAAGTATTGTAATCGTGCAAAAAAAAAATCAAGATTTTTACAAATTTCGACGTTTTACACCTCACTGATACGAAAAAAAAACATAATTTTGCAATCTTGTCCGTATGTCTGTGTGTCTGTGTGTGTGTCTCTGTGTGTGTGTGTGTGTGTAAACACGATTACGTGAGTACCGTTACAGCTAGGTTGATGAAATTTCATATATAAGTATTTTATCAAAATCGTAGATCCGTATCAACTTTTGAGCGATTTCCGATAACCGGAAGTGGTACTTTTTCTACTTTGAATTTTTCAAAAGCCTATAACTTGAGTACTATTTCAGATAGATAAATGAAACTTGATATGTAAGTAAAAGATCTAATTCTCTGCTTTCTGTCAAATTTTGAGTAATTTCCGTTGACCGGAAGTACTTATTTACGCTATTTCCGATTTCTCAAAAAACGCATGTAAATTTATCAAGTACTAATAATATTGCACACTATTATGCACATCTTTATTTAGCGTTCTCTAGGTGTGCATTTCTTTTTTCTACGAGATTATATTCTATTTTTAAAAATTTGAGTATTTAAAATGGATTAAAAATCATGTCTAGAAGTCTATATCCCGAGTTGCCATCCCCCGTATTGTTATATTAGAATATTCCAGAAAGTTTAGGGGAGATCACTCCCGGTTTTTTTATTTTTCGTATTTTTACTTTCTCGTATAGGTAGTTTAGAGGAAGTATTGTAATTGTGCAAAAAGAAAATTGATTTTTTTTTCACATTGTAACAACGCCTAATCAATTTTACCCTTAACGATCGCGGCTATGTAATATTTTTTAAAGTAATCGCTTTAAAAAATATAAATTGCTGTTTTGGACGTGTTATAGCTGAAGTATGACGTCATCATACAGGGGGGGGGGTCTTTTTTTAGAGTATTTGTGACGATCCAGGGGAAAGGATTAAATCGTCAAAGGAAGCGTGACGTCATTTATAGACGAGCCCTTAGATATATCTAAATTGTGTGCAGTATTGCGTTAAATTTGAGGTTTAAGAGGAACTTTTCGAATATCTTTGATCTTCTGCAGATAAAGATTCCACCACTGGTGTTCGGGATTCGGCCCCGGGCCAACACGGTCGTCACGTGATGGCACTGCTGGTTGGGTGTTCAACGTTAGCGACCCTATTCATCAGAAACCTGTTGTAATATAACACTCAACTCTTAGACGTCTCAGAAAATATTCTGCAATAAGACTGCCGTATGTTGGTTTTGATGTTATGATTTTTTTTTCTTTCTTCACTCCGATGAATAATACAGACTCAATGTCTTTCGTTTTTGTTGAGCCTTTATGAATATTAATGAACAGCTTAATCCTGCCTTATCATTAATGGGGTTTATTTGATCGATTTTTTTTATAAAGGGTGACCATTGCTATTGACACATGTGTAATTTATGGTTTAAACGTCGTTGGCTATAATTACTAAATGAGTATACTAATTTATAAGCACAGTGATGAGGGCGGGGGGGGGGATTAAGATGATGAAATCACAGTGGCGTAGCGAGGTCGGGTGTCACCCGGTGCGGCACTTAATGGTGTCACCCCCCCCCCCCCCCCCAGAGGCGTAGCGACCCTTCCCGGGTACAAACTTTCAAGTTTTCGATTTGCACCCCCCCCTCAAACGTTCGATTTGCACCCCCCCCCCCCGC